CTATAGCATATGCAATTTAAAGATAAATTAAGGTTTGGTATGAGGAGCATATTGTATAGAAACTTAGAAACAATGAATGTTGATATTAGTAAAAATATTGTTAAGAAGAAAGTGATTAGCTCAGTCTATCATTAATTAATTATTCAAGAAAGATCAAAGAGAAAGTACTTACAAAGATGTTGCAAAAAAACTTCCATGAAAATGTCATAGTGTTTAATGTGTCAAAGAGCAAAACATTTAAGAGAATGCTTGATTTTGTTTCAAATTATGATTTTGGATTTAAGTCACCTTTATACCATAAGATCAAAGTTAAGTAGCTAAAGGAAGATGATAAGACAATAAGACATGCTTTGTAAATTTACAGGGTTGCCTAAAAGAAAATAGGTTGTACTATAATGACCTTTGGGCATAATGGTAATAGGAGAAAGACTATATTAAATATTTTAGTAAATAGGCTAAAGGAAACATATTTTCTAACATTTATTGATGCATTTGTCATTTAAAAACTATCTCATAAAATTTATAAGATGAATGATGAAATTGTGAAAGAGATTAGCGGGGAGAATGTTATTCGAATTGTAACAAATAATGTTGTCTATTATAAAGTTGTTAGTGAATTATTAATAAAAGAAAGACACTACATTCGTGAATTATAACAAACATTGAATTGATTTGATACTCAAGGTTTTAAAAAGAAGATATTTGTTCATCAAGATACAATTTCAAACAAGAGAAATATTACTACATATATCCGTTCTATAGCATCTCTATAATTCCTTTCTTGTATCACTTCACAAAAGAGAGAGATTTATTAAGATGACCTTAACTCGCTTTGTCACCTCTTACTTAACATTAGGTATCTTTTTGTAGCATAAGGGTTTTTTAATTAAAATGGTTATTATTAGTATGAAGGGAAAATACTCATCTTGCGTGTACAAATTATGAAAAACCAATTGACGATGTAGTTTTGGGTAAAGAATTTTGGAATAGTATTGTCATATATTTGAAAGGCACATTTTCTATAATAAAAGTTCTTAGAACGGTAGATTATGATGAAAATTCAAGGTGTCATCTACCAGTAAATAGGTCGGGTTAAAGAAAATATAAAAAAAATGTATAATGGTGGCAAGAAAAAGGGTCCTATTAATCTCCAACTTGAAATTTCAACTTTGAATTTTACTTTTTAGAATGCGCTAAAATTGAACACTAATTCAAATTTTTATTATTAATTTTTTGTTATAAAGATTTATGGAATATTATTAATGAAAGACGGTACAACCAATTCCATAGGTCTTTGCATTTTCCAAACTATTTTTTGAATTTTGAATTGCATTATTCTAATAATTATAAAGTTGATAATAAATTAAAATTGGCATATTGCAATATATAAAAAGAAAAATAGTAACTTACCTTGAAAAACTAACATTTGATGATTTGCGTAGTGAAAAAATTAAGAGTCAAGAAGTTTGATAATTGCTTGAGTATTATGTCAATTAGAAAAAGATCACAAGTAAGAATCTTACGGAAATCAATATCTACACTTTTAAATATTTGTCATTCTATACTTAGTTTGACTTATAATTCTTCTAGATATGAACATAATTGAAGTATATTTTAAATTGAAAGATTTTAAAATTTGTGAAATTAGAAATAAAATAGTAAATTAGTAATTACTTTATATTTATGTTTATTAGGTTCACACAAAGAAGAAATCATAATTCAAAATTGGCTAAAAATGAAGTTAGAAATAGGGATGACAATTAAACTCATATCTGCGAGGACCGATTCATTCTCGTCTTAAGTTTGACGGGAAAAAACCGAGTTGACCGGGGGTGGGGGTAAGTTTAGGTTTTCCCCGCTTTAAAAAGTCGGGGTGGCGGTAGGGATGGGTAATGCAATCCCCATCCCCATCCCTATCCCCGTCCTCTCCCAGTCCCGACTTGATATTTAAATTTAAATTTTAAAATATTAATATTTTAAAAGTATTTTCTTTTCTTTTTCCATTATATATAAGGTAATTTTTTTATATTTTACCATTATTACTTTTCTTCTACCCACTCTTTAATTCTTGTCTTTTTTTAATCTTTTATATCAATCCGTTCATTGCATTATTATCTTTCTCTTACCTTTCACTTTTCCACATTTCCTTAATCTCTCTAATTAATTTGTTTTTTTCAATATTTTCAACCAATTTGATGAACACAAAGTTAATTTTTCTTATTTTTATATTTTTTCTAAATATTTTACATAAATATTAACTAATATTATTTTATTTATAATTTATATTTATTATATTTTATTATGACATATTTTTTGGATCTTATTATTCTTATGTGTCATATATCAAATTTTATTTTAATAAAATAATTATATTTTAAAGGATTAAAAAAATTAATAATTTAAATTTTTATTACTTTGAACTAATTAAATAAGAACTAACTTATTAAATATTTTCTTATAAACTATATATTTCATATTTTTAAATGACAACTTAAAAAATATATATAATCAAATGTTTGAATACAATATTATAATAATAATAATAATAATAATAATAATAATAATAATAATAATAATAATAATAATAATAATGGTACAAGTATTTTACATTTGTATAAAGAAAAAATAATTAAATATTTATTTTACATACATATTTTAATATAAATATAATAAATTAAAATACATATTTAATTAATAATAAATACAAATTATAAAATTATAAATATTTATTTATGTACAAAAAATATATAAAAATAGTAAAATTAATTTATTATAAATATAATTATTTTTAAAAAAATTATGTAGATCGGCTGACGGAGCAGGCGTAAAAAACCCGAAACTCAATGAGGACGAAATAAGAATTTAATTTCTAATCCCAACGGGAACGAAGATAGGGGCGAAGACGATTAAAAAAGTTGGGAACAAAGATTGGGAAGGAAAAATTCGCCTTGCCCTATTGTCATGCCTAGTTAAAAGCATACATAGAACTTAAAGGAGTATGAACTTGTTAATATTTAATGGATAATGAATGAATTACGGAAAATGTTAAAAAGATAACAAAAATATAAGTTTAAATGATAATCTAAATTTAAAATGAAGATGACAAATATTTGAATGAAAGTCAAGTATTTATACAAGATGATTTTATTTTAAGTGTTTCATTAAAAATATAAAGATAAAACTATTGAAGATTTCTAAATTTTAGTTTTTAATTTGAAAAGATGTATATAAAATGTTTATTATTTTATCTTTTAGTCATATTAATGATCTTTGTATTAGACTTAATAATTGATGTTCATTAGTTTTTTTTTAAGTATTTCACTTGTTTTTATTATCAGTTATGAGACTTGATTGATATTATGATTAATTTTTTATATTTTATGATTTTGAACTATAATTATATATATATATATATATATATATATATATATATATATATATATATATTAACGTAAAAGTATATCTACAATCAATCGATGACGGATCTTGACCATTTATTTTAAGGGGAACCAAATAATATATTATTAATAAATAATAAATAAATATACAAGAAAGAAAGAAGATGAAAAGGTGAAAGGATAAAATTGTATATTTATACTTAAATATATTAAATAATCATTAAGTTTGAGGGGATAAAATCATAAATTATATAAAAGTTACAAATTTGAGAAATGATTGAGAGGATAAAATTATAAATAAACAAGTATATATATATATATATATATATATATATATATATATATATATATATATATATATATATATATATATATATATATATTAAATGTTGACTAAGTTTGGGGGCCAAAATTATAAATAGTTACAAAACTTTGAGAGGATCACTACCCCTCAACTCCCAAGAAGATCCACTATCTACAATCTATATTACATCTCATGATTTATGAACCTAGCTTCTTATCTCAATTCTTTTCACTATCTTGATAGTAATAATTTTCTACACAAACCAAATTATCAAAATCTTGTAAATAATAAGTATTCTTAAAATAACAAATAACACTTGCAAAATGAAAACTTTATGTGACAGCCACACGTCACCTCCAATATAGAACATGGATGGCGCTTCACACGGGTCTACTTGTGCAGTGGAAATGTATAACTACACGTAACATATCAGCATTTAAATATTACAATTTAATTTTAAAAACTAAAGTTATAAACAAAAATTAAACACTGAAGTTAAAGTAAACAATCACATTTTAAAACTTTTTTAACCTTAAGCTGAACTATTTTATTCACTACTTAATACTTTTTTTGTTTACTTTACTTTCTGCCATTAAAATCTTCTAAATAAATTACAATTATAATAATTCAGAAAAAAAAATTCTCGTGTACACATGTTTTTCCTATTTATCGTTAAAATTATAATAATTATTTTTTAATTATGTTAAAAAAAGGAAAACAAAACTACACAAAAAACAATTATTTAGAATAATTATATTACAAATTGTTATGAGAAAAAAATAAAAATAAAAATCACTTATTTAATTTTTTAAAATAAATATATTAATTTATTACAATATAATTTCGTGTTAAAAGACAATAATTCTATAAATATAAACAGTGGGCTCATCTTTGTGTTTAGAAATTGTAAACCAATCTAATGGCTTTTAAATAATAAAGATTAAAATAAAAATCGTCCAATATTAGAAAACTTATATAAAAACTTACGATTTTAAAAATACGGCTTGAGTAACATAAATTGATATGAAAACATTTGATAAGGATCGAAACGGGAAATAATAGAAGATCAAAACCAAAAACCTATTTTATAAAGATTGAAAAGTTAGTTAAGACAATGAAAAGAACTAGCAAAGGATCAAATCATATCCCCTAAATCCTATCCAGTCATTATAACAAATGTAATACAGCAAATATATAGGACCTGGCACGCACAGGCAGCATGAGAACTAGTACAGCTAAATTGAAGCTCAATGTTTACAAATCGTAAGACTCCTCGTCTAAAATTAAATGTTCTCTTCTCAATACCCATAATTGGTGCCATAAACGGGTCCATAATCTGCAGTAGGTACATGGCCTGCATGACCAGCAGCGCTGGAGGGCGGAGATGCATAGACAGGAGCATTGGTAGGATAGGTATTGTAACCTTGGTTCATCGATCCCCCCATATGATCCTGAGTTGCACTAGCAGCTTCAGCCATGAAATTCTGCATCAGATACATACATTGTGGGCAATTCAGAATCATAGCAACCATATTCAACATAACAAAAACCATCATAACAACAACACCTTGCCCACAACAATAGTTAAATTAATTGTTGCTTCACTCTGCACCTTTCTTCTCAAGATAAGCATTCATTAACCCCATGTTCATTGAGAAAAATAATCAACTAATATGACAACGGTATATGTTGCATCTTGTGCAACAGTAGCAATATTCATTTAAGCCTAACTTCAATAGTTGCCATTCGAACCTCAAAAGACAAAAATACTAGACACAATCTAATACTTCGATGTCAACTGCATTCCCTCTCCTGATGTGTGAGGGTTTATTTTTTATAATATTTACTTATAAATGAATGTAAAAAAGTGAATATTGAAAAGACAAGCTTATAGTTAACCCCAACATATTTATATTTGAAATTAATATAACACGAATTAACTAGTATATAGGAAGGAAGTAACGTACACAAAATAGACATACAATACACACATAAATTTAACCATTGCCACTTCCGATAGGAAAAAAAAAAAAAACAAAAAACAAAAAAACCCAGCTAGTCTCTATCAAACAATGACAATCAGATAGAAGACATGTGGACTACACAATCCAAAATCCGTTCAAAACAAAATACCTGCACTAACTGCTGGGCAGCCTGTATTTGTGAAGCAGTACCACTTATCTCAACAGTCATCTCTCCTGGTACACCCCTGGTCTCCTGAATTGTAATACTTGCTCCACTGGCTCGACGGATATAGCTGATGTTTGTACCTGATGCTCCAATAACAGCATCTGCATATGACAAAGGAATTTGCATGTGCTGCGTGACCTACATAATAGTACAAATGACATAATATTAAGTCACCAGTAAATAAATAAAGAATGTTGCAAAATCAATAATGCTGCTCTCTGCAATGGACAAGCTGGGTAAAAAGGATACCTTAGTCACAACAGATTGTTGTGGTTGCGCACTGGATGAGTGAATTCCCATAGATGCATCTCTTCCGTAGGCAGGTGCAGGACCCTGATGAAGGTGCTTATCCATGGCAGGCAGGTCAGCAGGTGGGTAGTAATTATCATAGTTATGCGAAGGGGGCATATACTGGGGATTGGGTGGAAAAGCAGGTCCCCCACCACTACCAGGTCCAGAAGCTGGAAAACCTTGAGGAGGACCCCAAGGTTGATGTGGTGGGCCATGTGGCACATTTTGGTTTGCTCGAACATCTGACCTTTGCATCTGAAGTTTAGGAGGAAGATAAAAAATTATTATCCACAAAATGAATGGTAATAAAGATGATCCATATAACTTCAATAAATAAATTAATAAATCCAAAGTTCCCTTGAATCCAAAGCATGTGAAAATAAAGTGATAACACTTGAAAAACCATTGGAACCCCTTCTCAAACTACAAAGACAATGAATGATAAAAGACAGGAATACATATAAAATTTACAAGTAGCCTAGCCTATGATGCTTTCCAGTCCACCCTATGACTAACCCCTATCTCAATCAATTATCCCCAACTATAACACAAGCTTGAAAACAACATTCCATATATAGCATAGAGTGTTCAAAGCAGATTAAATGACTTACCGTGACATGATGAAACTCATGAGATAACCTTTTCTATATACATTCTTAATTGGTCATTCAGACCTTTCTACTTTGAATAAGCAACTGAAAGTATAATGAACTCACCTGTGTTTCAAATACACCAACTATGCTGCGGTCAACCAAGAATTTTCGTAGATGAACTGCAACAAGTTCAACCGCCTTGTGAACCCCAGAAGATTCTCCTTGTATTTCAACAACACTATCATCTCGGAGAGCAAAAACTGGCAGGTGTTCTGTTGTATATAATACATCATTCACGTAATGCAATCACTAACTTGGACGTCATAAATCATGCTTTTCAAATATATGTTTGCTAAATATAGGATCATTTACTTGACAAAAAAACACAACTAACTTTTCAAATACATGATAAGAATATCATTTCAAAAATATAATGCATCTGACAGGTAGATTTAGTGGTACCATGTTTAAGAGCAAAGACTCCAGATAAAAAGATTGTTGCAAGAATATATTGAAAAGGAAAATGTGTTCATTGACAAACAATGCTTGTGGCGCACCTGAACCAAGAACACGTATATTGCAACCTGTGGAATCTTGAAAGGATTTTATAGTGGACCCCTGCTTCCCAATCAGGCTTCCTGCTTGAGTATCTGCCACTAGAAGCCTTGTAACAACTGTGCGTCCTGCAACTGATGCATTATCGGCAGGATGAGGCTCTACATTGACCACTTGTTTATGAACCCTTAACAAACCATCCACAGCAGGCGGTATGCTGCGGTCTGGCTCTTCTTTCGCAGAAACCATTACCTTTAAAAAGCATAAAAGGAAAATTCAGAAAGAAACACAATATAAGCAGCTACATTTCAAATTTTAAAGCAAGCTAATTTTATATACTCAATCCATAGCTGATTCATCACCATATTTCAAAAAAATATCACTATTGCATCACTGGCAATAACAAAACCAAAATTGTTCTAGCTTTTTACCTTATTTTAATCAGTACATCTTTGGTTCAACAAATTTGTAACTCTGTTAAACTAAATTATGCTTTGATATTACTTTTTTCTTAGGAAGAATGTATTATCCCTTAATCTAAAACTTGGTATAAATACTTTAATTAATAATTGTAAATCTTGAGAGGAATTTGATGATGATAAATGCCCCAGAAGTAATTAAATGGACCATAATATTTTTCAGTTTAGTAAATTAGATATATTTCAGATTTACAATTTTTTTCAGACAGTTTATAAATTTCAGATTTATAAATTAGATATATTTCAATTTTCATGAGCTTTTTTAATTATTAATTTAGTAACTTAGTGTTTCCGAGGAAAGTGTTTTAGGGTGTGGCAAGACACCTATCGACCAAGTTCTGAAGTTACCAGGGAGTGAACGCTTTTCTCCACCAAAATCTGCACAGACTATTTGATTCTTAAGTCAAAAACAACATTTCAGCAGTTGTAAATGCTCATTGTTGTTTCCTGCAACTTGCACTTTGGCTCTTCAATTTGAAGCCACTTTAGTCATTCATATTAGCTGACAACCTGCACACATCCATTTGGTCATCGTGACAAAAGACATCTTTTTTTATATATTAACTTGTTGATTATTTATTATTCTTGGGGTTAAACTAGATTATTTATATTTTTATGCTTTTACTCCCTTGATAAACTTTTGTTTTATTTTGATAACACAGTTTCTTAGCAATAGTATTCGTTATCATGAATGAAACATTAAGTTTTATCTCAAATTTATTATGTGACCTTGTTTGATCAAATAGATGTTTTCCACATCAAATCACTAATCAGTTACTAAAGAATATATAGGACTAGGCATGATGTAAGTTTGTTATATCAAATAGATGTTCCTTTATTATATTTTCATGACTCTGATTCATAATGGTCGAGCAAAGAATATATAGGTACCAACAGCAGCACTATAACACTGTAGCAGAGCATCACAGCAGCTGGTGGCCACAAGAAACTCGTAGCACAGGATTTTTGCATTGCATAAATACAGGCAAATAACCTATTATAGCTGGATCCACACCATTGTGCAGAATCAACACCTTTTCCAGCCAAGCCCATTTATTTTCTTGCCAAGCTCAACTCCAATCTCTGTTTTGCAATTCAAAAAAACACTTAACTGCTGCAACTTAACCAAGACATTTACGACTATCATCATTTATTTGGGCAGGTTGTTCTTATAGTTCATCAAATTCCACTATTTTCTTGTCATGGCCCTCTGTTTTTCTATAAATTCCATCATCTTCCTACTTCTTTTAATTTTCTGTAACCTCACTTTTCAGTGTTACAGTTCAAATAATGGTGAATGTGCACTAGACTATAACTTTTTGCTTAAGAAATAAGAATATATCTTTATTTCAGATAATACTTTATTTTTAAGTAATTGTGTGTATTCTATACTATGAATTATGAATTAGTTATCTTGAATCTATAATATTCAACAAAGCAACCAATCCCCTACCTACTTTAGCAGCTTTGAGGTAGATCATGTAAGGCCACTACTTAGTATTGTTAATTATGCAAATACATATTCAATAAAAGAATTGATGAATGGAGGAAAGGGAGAACCATAAAAGCCTATCTGCAAGGTGGGTGGTGCAGAATACCAAGCATAAAATAAATCCAAACACAGATATCACATTCTAATAAGCCTAAAGATAGATAGGAAATAGGCAAAATGTGCTTGAAATAGTTACTATCCAACATTATCCATCACTGCGTGAATTTCAAGAAACTGGAAAAGATACTCACAGCTCTTTCTGCAGTTCCAGGTGGACCATCAAGAATTTTTATACGAGCCTTAGTCTCTTCAGTAATTTTCCTAATAAACTCGCCTTTACGGCCAATAATACTGCCAACCTTTTGCACAGGAACCAACATCCTGAAAACATTTTCTCCAGGCCAACCTGGCCATTTTTTTACTTCACCTCCTTTCAACTCCTCATGAGATCCCTGTTTTTCCTCGGAGTCAAAATTCTCAGTTATGTCTCCTCCACCATGCTGTTCCTCAGCTTCCTCTTGCGGAGGAAAATCAGGGTTTTCAGGCAAACCTTCACCATCATTCCCATCAAAATTATTTTCAGGAACATCAGCATCCACGGCCAAATTAGCCACATCATGTTCAACGGGCTGCAGTTGCGGAAACCCTGAGTCATCAATCACATTTCCACCATCATGTTCATCATTTTGCGGAAACTCAGGGTTCTCAGGCACGTAGCCTGCATCTTGTCCATCATAAACTTCCCCAGACATCCCAGCAGCTACGGAACCCAAAAATCAAATTAAATTATATAACACACAAGAAAAGAGGGGAAAATGAAGAATTAAACAGTTGTCCCATCTACATACACGCACTTGCTCTTCAAGAAGAGGACTAGTTAACAACATCAATAACCGTTCGATATCTATAACACCCTAAAATAATCAAACTCCATAACTTCGAATGCCTTAAAAATATTAAACCCTGCGCCAGCTGACCACCAAAAAAAAAAAAAAAACAACCCACACAAAAATTATCAAATCCACCTTTCATCCACACTAGAAAAAGTGCAGAAAACAACTTAAGCAAACAAAACGCAGAGCACAAGTTCAGATGCGAAAGCGAAGTGAAGAAAAAATAATGCAATTATTATTCAACTCCAACGAACAGTAAAAACGGTAGAACTCGCACTTGAATTCTTTGCGAACAAAAAATTAAATTGAAAAGTGGAAACAAAGGATGTTGTTCAAACCCTAACGCAAGCAGAACGGAGTTGAGAAAAGTGGTTAGAAAACTTACTGTGATTCTGGAAGCTTCGGAGGACGAAAAGAAAGAAAAAAACGGTGGCGTTTGGGAATGAAGAAAACGGTGCTGTGCAGAATTTAGGTTTTTGTAAAGGATGGGAGCAGGCGACACAGCACATTTTATTTTATTTGCTTTCCTCACCTTTAACCTACTCCTATTCACAAATTTGGCGGTTCTTTTTCTATTTTTTATTTTGTATTATTATTGATATTTGAATTTAAAAACAATAAATAAATTAATTAAAAGTCCGGATAATAATATGCTTAATTAATTGATTATAAAAAGTTATTAACAATTAATATTGTAATGCATGTATTATTTTATCTTGCATAATAACTAATTCAGTCTAGAAGAACAATTCCACACTACTATTATAAGTTAAGAAAAAATATTTATTAAGTCAGTGGTTAAAATATTTTAAAAATATGTAAAACTTGTTAGAGTTTAACTATTTAAATATTAAATTATATATATTATATATGAGTAAATTTATTAACCCTTAAATATTAATTATATATATTATATATGAGTAAATTTATTAACACTTGAAAATTTATTTAAATAGTTCTAAAATTATTAAAAATCATACTAAGTAGTCTTTATGTATTATAAAAACAGTAAATAATGTATGGGTTATATTATATATAAATAGAGGAAGAATTTACTAATTCTAAAAATAAGTTTAAATTTTAATTATTTATTTTTTTAATATAATAATTAAGATGACTTATAATATCAGCTTTTCAATAAATAACTTATTTTAATTTTTCATTTTTATAAAATGCCAACTTTTTATTTTATTTTAACAGAGGAGTGAAAATAAAGGTAGATAGGGAATTAAAATAAAAAAATAAAGAGTGAGAATAGGATGATCCATTTCAAATTTGTATGTTGTTGGGCTTTTAGTTATGCAAAAGTAGGGATTTACTATTTGCATTCCAGTCTTACAAGATACACCCCTCCCGTTTTTTATATAAATTTACTACATTTTCTTTTTGTTTCGTCAAATCCACTCACTCAACTCTTTGGAAAATGTTATCCATGTGCATCATTTTCTCCAAAAATATTATTTTTTATTTATTTTATCTTGTTTTAGTGTAAGCCTAATATTAAGTCCATAAGTTTAAAAGGTATTTTTTAATTAGATTAGACATTTTGAATCTAAAAGAATTTACCATGAGTAAAGAATGACAAACTTCCTTAACATTCACCTTTTTATTTTTTATTTTTTATCTTTTATGTTTTTTTTTTTAGAATTGTTCATGTATGTGCTTTATTATTTTTGGGATTCAGGTTTAAAGCCTTGATAATTATTGATTTTAATTTTTTTTTCTTTCCAAATTTTCTCTTGATTTTTGTTCTATTTTTTATTTATGGAAAATATTTAATAATGGTTTTTCATTTCCATAAATACTTATAAATTTAATCTTTCAATAAATTTAGGAATTAAATAAAAATAATGAATGAGATTTAACATAACTACCTGTTTCCGGTGGAATTTCGATCGATTTCGTTTCTCGAGATATTTTGATCCTAATCAAAATTCTACCACGTAAGTTCTTTTTACTTAGGCTAGCAGTCTGACTTTCAATCGACAACGTGTATGAGAATCGAAAGTCACAGAATATCAAATGCTATTTTTTAGTATTTTATATTTAAAATACCGAAAGCAATAAAAGTATAGAATCGAGAAACGGAATATTAATTTGCGAGGAACTGTAAAGTGCGAAAACCCAAAATTTGCATTAATTGTAAATGACAAGAAATCGAAAATAGCACAAATATAAATGACAAGAAATCGAAAATAGCGCAAATATAAATGACAAGAAATCGAGATTGCAAGAAAAGTAAATGACAGAAATCGAGATTTGCGGAATGTTAACAGGAAATCGTAAATACGTAAACTTAAACTTTCATTGAATTGAAATGACAAGGAATCGAAAATACCAAAAAAAGCTGCTGAATGTAAATTGCATCAAAGTAAATTACCAAGGAAAATACGTAAAGCGATAAATGTACTCGCCGAGCAAGGAAATCCAGATTGCCGTAAACTTCATGGTGTTCGTCGTTTCTCCAGTAGACTTTTCACTACTGATTCTGTTCTCTGCCAATTTCTGCTCGCTATTTCTTCCTTCTTTGCTCTATTTATAGTGCATCGTTCAAGTCTTCCAAGAGCAGTTAACACGACTGCTACCACGTTCTACGTGCATATGGCGGTTTATCTCCTACGGTTTTCCACGTTCTCACGATCTTTGATTTCCTCCATGGTTTAGAAACTGCTCTCTATCCGTGCGTTTGACTTACTCTTCTCTTTATGGTTTGGCCAAGGTTTTCGATGTCCGTGTAGGTTAGCTTTCTTCATTTTCGATTTTACACTTTCGAGAACTTCGAATTGCTTACGATTCCTTTTCAACCTTAACATCTTATCATTCTAGTTTCTTAGGTTTCGACAATAGGCATTTGACTATCGTTCCTTCGATTCTCGATTGTACTTATCGATGTTATGTGTTACGTGCTTTAGACATCGAATGGTTTTTTATCAGTCACGTGTTCTCTCTTTCCTTTCCCTCATTTTCGATTGCTTTTCTCGATTTTCTACTAACAAAATGCCCCCTTGGAAGAATATAAATGATTTCTGTTTATATTCTTTCAATATTCCCGCCTTAGTGTTTGGAGGCCCACAGGACTTAGGGTTCTAGGGTTAAAAGGGTTTTAGTTTTCCCTTTTGCTTTACGTCGCCATCTCGTCAGTCTGCTGCTTTTACAGTACACGCTACATTTATTACCTTTCACCTCCGTCGTTTCCAGCCCCCTAAACGATTTTCCCTTTTAAACTCTATTGGTTTTCTACTCAGGTTTTTTTTTTACGCGAACTTTTGTCCCTTTACACTTTCATCTTCTTCCTTGAGTTCCTGTCTTCATCCTTGCGCCCCCTCCTTTTATCTTGTTTTCCTCTTAATCTCCCTATTACTGAAATGGCAACTTCCTCTAAGTCTTTCGACTTTTCCGCTCCACCTCTTCCTTCGCTGACGGCCAACCTTTTGGAAATCAATAATCAAAAGTTTGCTCCAATCCCTCTGATGGAGGAGGCTTCTCAGAAAGTTATTGAGACGCAGGTACTCATTCCTTACACTGCTGATAGTGTTAATTTTGGTTTTGGGGGTCCTGTCCGTTCTAGTAGTGGGACTTTTTCTTCCTTCACCCTCTCGAACAGCCCAGCACTTATTCATCACCCTGAGGTTCGGACGGATTTTTTGAATATGGCATCGAGAGTATACCGAACGGGTCCACCTTCATTCCTTAGGTGGTTTGATAGAGTACAAACTAAGTTTGGGAACCACTGGAGAGATATAGGGATTTTTGATTTTTTACAGCTATCTCGATGCGATCTGTCGTCTTTGGATATGGCAATGTTTCTATCTGTCGTGCATTTGTGGAACAAGGATTTGCATGCCTTGGAATTACCCTGTGGTCCCCTGTCACCTACTCTCTTTGAGGTTGCTGCTATAACCAGACTAAACCCGACTGGGGAGAAGTATTATAAGGGTGCTTACCCTTCGGATAATTCTTTGAGATCTAAAATCGATTGGGAATCGAAGGCTTATGGACATTTTCTTGAGAAGCATTTCGTCGATGACGAATTGAAGGCTGTGACTGACGAAGAACACATAGCCTTTTTGGTATATTGGCTATGTACCCACGTTTTTTGTCCTCGATCCATCCAAATCTCCTCACACCTCTATAATCTAGCCTACCTTCTCCATACTGGCCAGCCTAAGATATGTTTGGCTAAACTCTTGTTAGCGCATGTGTATACTGCTTTCGACGAGGCTGTCGAAATTTTGAGCACTCCTAAGGCATCGGGAAACTTTTCTGGTCCCATCTGGTTTATTCAGTTATGGTTAAACTCAATTTTTGAGAGCATCCTCCCCCCGACTTCCAGCATCCCCCCAAATGTAAATATAGAAGGGGCCCGATTATCCTCTCGCCATCCTTACCAAAAACCCGATGAAGCTGCTTATTGTCAATACCTTAATTTTTTGTTATCTAGATTTAATTTCGATTCGGTTTTAGCTCCTTTTACCGTGCATCTCGGACGAATAAATGATCAACTCAGGGGACCAATTTGGTTTAAGTCGAAGTTCCCTGCCTCAACTCCTGGATTGCAATTAGAGTTGGTAGATATCTGGAGTAACTATTTAACTCATGATATGCTGGTATCGGGTTTTCAATCCAAAGACTTCAAGATCATCATTTACTACCCTCAGCTATTCTCGAGACAATTCGACCTGAGCCAATCCTTACCTTTCTTCCCTTTAGATACCTCCCCGAGGTTCAAGTTGAATGAATCGATAATCGAACGGGAGCTTATCAAGCTTTTGCCAAAAACCCCGATGCATTTTTATCCCTATGCTTTTGAGTCAAATTATTTGTCTACTGTGGGTTTTTCTCAATGGTGGATTGGTTGGTTCTCGAGTAGTCATGCTACTTTTGATGAAGTTCGACAGAAACTGACTGCCCATCCTTCTCTTGTGTTGCAGGACAAGTCGAAATTGAAGAAAGGTACACACTTCCACTGTCTTCAAATATCTCGATTCGAGAACTTTTATCAAATATGTTACACCCCACTGAAATTAGAATCGACCTATTATGATGTTGTTATCTCCTTATCCAATAAGACAGACGCTAATCGATCGAACCACAAAATAATCAATCCTCTAGGTAGAACCCCTTTTGAAATGTATTGTCCAAATCGCCTTCCCACTTTTCCCACAGCTCCTTTTGGACTTGCCAAACCATTAACTTATCCTAAATGGGTTCGAGAATTGAGATCCCTAAGGGAAACACTTCGCCCAAAACCCAAAAACAAAGATATTTCTGTCTCGAAATTATCTTATTTCCCTTACCTTAACCTCCCTGAGGCTCTTTTGCCTCCCTGGCTTGTACATATCGACCGAGTCAAGATTTTGACTCCATCACCTTTTGGTGAGATTTTACTGCTTTCTTATACTTTTTTTATTCTGTATATTATAAGCTAATCTGTCTTCTTTTATTGGTAGTTTTGAAATCCACCAAGGTCACCGCTGTCGAGAAAGGTCAAGAGAAGGAGAAGGACTGA